AATGGGCAGGGCAGGGCAGCATCATTAAAAGATAATAATAATGAAAAATAAAAACTTAAATTTACAATCTGAAAAAAAAATCTTACAATCTTCAAGAGAATAGAAAATAATAAAATATAGTAATAGGTAATATCAAAATTCAGCAAAAACCTTTCGCCACCATTAAATAATAAATACGAAAATAAAAAGATCATGATAAATAAAACAAATCTAAAAATAAAGTTAATAAATAAAATAGAGAGAGAAATTCACGATGGATAAATAAAAACGAAACGAAGTAATCCCAAACTTCCCAGACACGAACACTGCTGCCACCAACGCCCCTAGAATAAAACAAACTTCCACCAACTTCCTTTACACACAAAAATTAATTCCGGAAGATACAAGCCACCATTCACAAAAACACTATCAACCGGGAAAAAAAAATCCAAAACTTCACCAACTCCCATCAATTTCTTAAAAAAAGAAAAAAAAAAAATCCGGAATCGCCCAACTTACACCAAAATTCTTTATCAAATCAAATACTTACAAAGGAATTAAACTCGTCTACATTCCGGAAGAGACGTTAAATCACCAACTTCCCCAATACAAGCAAATCCTTTACAAAATGAAAAAAAAGAAGAAAAAAAGAAGAAAGAAAGAAAAAAAAACAGAAAGAAAAAGAAAGAAAAAGAAAAAAAACAAATGTAAAATATGGCTAAAAACAGAAAGAAAAAGAAAGAAAAAAATAGAATTAAAATAAAAAATATAAAAAAGAAAGTGAAAAATAAGATTACAAAGAAAGAAAGAAAAGGGAATGATAAAAAGATAAAATAAAAAAACACTAAAATCAATCAATAAAAGCAAGAAAAAATGAGAAAGAGAGAAAAAATCCCTCACCGAACTTCCGGGAGAGACAAATCGTTGCTCCTGAAGTGCCACACGAGGGCATCCAACTCCCCGACAGAAAACCGCCTTCTGTCGGCTGTCACGAAGCACCTGTCAACCCGACAGCCGGCTCTCACGAAGGGCTCTCTGCCCAGCCCGAAGCCGTAGTGGAATTTGCCGTACATCTAAGCAGGCGAGGGGGCGGGAAGGTATTTAGTTGAGATAATGGTTGTGGGGAAGGTATTAGGTAATCAATCATTGTTATCACAAGTTATATCTTCATTATCCTAATACTAACGAAGGTGATGGTTGTTGGAAGGTAATGGTGGTAATCAATCATTGTTATCACAAGTTATATCTTCATTATCCTAATACTAACGAAGGTGATGGTTGTTTGGAAGTGATGTTGTTTGGAAGGAGATGTTGTTTGGAAGGTAATGGTGGTAATCAATCATTGTTATCACAAGTTATATCTTCATTATCCTAATACTAACGAAGGTGATGGTTGTTAGAAGGTGATGGTTGTTTGGAAGGAGAATGGTTGTTTGGAAGGAGAATGGTTGTTTGGAAGAGATGGTTGTTTGGAAGGAGATGGTTGTTTGGAAGGAGATGGTTGTTTGGAAGGAGAATGGTTGTTTGGAAGGAGAATGGTTGTTTGGAAGGAGAATGGTTGTTTGGAAGGAGAATGGTTGTTTGGAAGAGATGGTTGTTTGGAAGGAGATGGTTGTTTGGAAGGAGAATGGTTGTTTGGAAGGTGATGGTTGTTTGGAAGGTGATGGTTGTTTGGAAGGAGATGGTTGTTTGGAAGGTGATGGTTGTTTGGAAGGAGATGGTTGTTTGGAAGGAGATGGTTGTTGGAAGGTGATGGTTGTTGGGAAGGTGATGGTTGTTTGGAAGGTGATGGTTGTTTGGAGGAGATGGTTGTTTGGAAGGTGATGGTTGTTTGGAAGGAGATGGTTGTTTGGAAGGTGATGGTTGTTGGAAGGTGATGGTTGTTTGGAAGGAGATGGTTGTTTGGAAGGAGATGGTTGTTTGGAAGGTAGATGGTTGTTTGGAAGGTGATGGTTGTTTGGAAGGTGATGGTTGTTTGGAAGGATGGTTGTTTGGAAGGTGATGGTTGTTTGGAAGGAGATGGTTGTTTGGAAGGTGATGGTTGTTGGGAAGGTGATGGTTGTTTGGAAGGTGATGGTTGTTTGGAAGGTGATGGTTGTTTGGAAGGTGATGGTTGTTGGAAGGTGATGGTTGTTTGGAAGGTGATGGTTGTTGGGAAGGTGATGGTTGTTGGAAGGTGATGGTTGTTGGGAAGGTGATGGTTGTTGGAAGGTGATGGTTGTTGGAAGGTGATGGTTGTTTGGAAGGTGATGGTTGTTGGAAGGTGATGGTTGTGGGGAAGGTAATGGCTGTTGGGAAGGTGATGGTTGTTGGAAGGTGATGGTTGTTGGAAGGTGATGGTTGTTGGAAGGTGATGGTTGTTGGAAGGTGATGGTTGTTGGAAGGTGATGGTTGTTGGAAGGTGATGGTTGTTTGGAAGGAGATGGTTGTTTGGAAGGTGATGGTTGTTTGGAAGGAGATGGTTGTTTGGAAGGCGATGGTTGTTTGGAAGGTGATGGTTGTTTGGAAGGGATGGTTGTTGGAAGGTGATGGTTGTTTGGAAGGTAGATGGTTGTTTGGAAGGTGATGGTTGTTTGGAAGGTGATGGTTGTTTGGAAGGTGATGGTTGTTTGGAAGGTGATGGTTGTTTGGAAGGAGATGGTTGTTTGGAAGGTGATGGTTGTTGGGAAGGTGATGGTTGTTGGGAAGGTGATGGTTGTTTGGAAGGAGATGGTTGTTTGGAAGGTGATGGTTGTTTGGAAGGAGATGGTTGTTTGGAAGGTAATGGCTGTTGGGAAGTTGATGGTTGTTTGGAAGGTAATGGTTGTTTGGAAGATGGTTGTTTGGAAGGTGATGGTTGTTTGGAAGGAGATGGTTGTTTGGAAGGTGATGGTTGTTGGGAAGGTGATGGTTGTTTGGAAGGAGATGGTTGTTTGGAAGGAGATGGTTGTTTGGAAGGTGATGGTTGTTTGGAAGGTGATGGTTGTTTGGAAGGAGATGGTTGTTTGGAAGGTGATGGTTGTTGGGAAGGTGATGGTTGTTTGGAAGGAGATGGTTGTTTAGAAGGTGATGGTTGTTTGGAAGGAGATGGTTGTTTAGAAGGTGATGGTTGTTGGGAAGGTGATGGTTGTTGGGAAGGTGATGGTTGTTTGGAAGGAGATGGTTGTTTGGAAGGAGATGGTTGTTTAGAAGGTGATGGTTGTTTGGAAGGAGATGGTTGTTTGGAAGGTGATGGTTGTTGGGAAGGTGATGGTTGTTGGGAAGGTGATGGTTGTTTAGAAGGTGATGGTTGTTTGGAAGGAGATGGTTGTTTGGAAGGTGATGGTTGTTGGGAAGGTGATGGTTGTTTGGAAGGAGATGGTTGTTTGGAAGGTGATGGTTGTTGGGAAGGTGATGGTTGTTGGGAAGGTGATGGTTGTTGGGAAGGTGATGGCTGTTTGGAAGGAGATGGTTGTTTGGAAGGTGATGGTTGTTGGGAAGGTGATGGTTGTTGGGAAGGTGATGGTTGTTAGGAAGGTGATGGCTGTTGGGAAGGTAATGGTGGTAATCAATCATTGTTATCACAAGTTATATCTTCATTATCCTAATACTAACGAAGGTGATGGTTGTTTGGAAGGAGATGGTTGTTTGGAAGGTGATGGTTGTTGGGAAGGTGATGGTTGTTTGGAAGGAGATGGTTGTTTAGAAGGTGATGGTTGTTTGGAAGGAGATGGTTGTTTAGAAGGTGATGGTTGTTGGGAAGGTGATGGTTGTTGGGAAGGTGATGGTTGTTTGGAAGGAGATGGTTGTTTGGAAGGAGATGGTTGTTTAGAAGGTGATGGTTGTTTGGAAGGAGATGGTTGTTTGGAAGGTGATGGTTGTTGGGAAGGTGATGGTTGTTTGGAAGGTGATGGTTGTTTGGAAGGAGATGGTTGTTTGGAAGGTGATGGTTGTTGGAAGGTGATGGTTGTTGGAAGGTGATGGTTGTTTGGAAGGAGATGGTTGTTTGGAAGGTGATGGTTGTTTGGAAGGAGATGGTTGTTTGGAAGGCGATGGTTGTTGGAAGGTGATGGTTGTTTGGAAGGCGATGGTTGTTTGGAAGGAGATGGTTGTTTGGAAGGTAATGGCTGTTGGGAAGGTGATGGTTGTTTGGAAGGTAATGGTTGTTTGGAAGATGGTTGTTTGGAAGGTGATGGTTGTTTGGAAGGAGATGGTTGTTTGGAAGGTGATGGTTGTTGGAAGGTGATGGTTGTTGGAAGGTGATGGTTGTTTGGAAGGAGATGGTTGTTTGGAAGGTGATGGTTGTTTGGAAGGAGATGGTTGTTTGGAAGGTAATGGCTGTTTGGGAAGTTGATGGTTGTTTGGAAGGTATGGTTGTTTGGAAGATGGTTGTTTGGAAGGTGATGGTTGTTTGGAAGGAGATGGTTGTTTGGAAGGTGATGGTTGTTGGGAAGGTGATGGTTGTTTGGAAGGAGATGGTTGTTTGGAAGGAGATGGTTGTTTGGAAGGTGATGGTTGTTTGGAAGGTGATGGTTGTTTGGAAGGAGATGGTTGTTTGGAAGGTGATGGTTGTTGGGAAGGTGATGGTTGTTTGGAAGGAGATGGTTGTTTAGAAGGTGATGGTTGTTTGGAAGGAGATGGTTGTTTAGAAGGTGATGGTTGTTGGAAGGAGATGGTTGTTTGGAAGGTGATGGTTGTTGGGAAGGTGATGGTTGTTGGGAAGGTGATGGTTGTTTAGAAGGTGATGGTTGTTTGGAAGGAGATGGTTGTTTGGAAGGTGATGGTTGTTGGGAAGGTGATGGTTGTTTGGAAGGAGATGGTTGTTTGGAAGGTGATGGTTGTTGGGAAGGTGATGGTTGTTGGGAAGGTGATGGTTGTTGGGAAGGTGATGGCTGTTTGGAAGGAGATGGTTGTTTGGAAGGTGATGGTTGTTGGGAAGGTGATGGTTGTTGGGAAGGTGATGGTTGTTAGGAAGGTGATGGCTGTTGGGAAGGTAATGGTGGTAATCAATCATTGTTATCACAAGTTATATCTTCATTATCCTAATACTAACGAAGATAAAT